CGGCCATCAAGTTTTGATGACCCCCATCTCTCCGATCGTCTTCTTATGGGATTTTATTTTCTAATCTCTAAAGCACACATTTTCACTGTAAATGTAAATGAGTTAATCAATTTCGACCGATGAGACTACTCAAAGTTTAAGTATTTTGTTACAAATTGCATGACAATTCTTTTATTTGTATGAATAATTCACACCTACCCATTTGCTTAAAACGGTTCTTCATTCACCTCTTATCACTCCCGCCCGAAAGGTGCGTCTTCTCGTCTCCTACGGAGCTGATGTGTTGGCCGTCAATCTTTCCTCGCGTACTCCAGTTGATCTGGCCGTCTCTCAGGCTCGAACTGGCGTCGTTCGTTTCCTGTTGCCCATAGCAATTGAAGCGCAGACTCACATTTCCTCGTCAATATCGCTGCTCGACTCCAGAGACCTCGACCAACCAAGTGGCCTCCCTTCGGAGTCGCCCTCGCTCGGCTGGCAGTCGATAAGCTCTCGACATACCGGATCTCTTCCCGGCCTCTGTAGGTCCGGTAGTCACCGACGTCCAACAGTCATGGAGCAGTCGCCTGGCAACTCGCGGCTGTACCCCAAAAAGAAGAAGCCGCCGGCACTGAGCGAATCCCCCTCGGCCGGTGGTGAAACCATGTCCGAGCCGTCCGAGCCGAGCCCAACCTCTGCGAACCCCGCGTCTCGGGGCGGTTTGGAAGCGACCGGCATCGAGAGGATCGGTTGCCAGGATCCATTATTCTCGACGTCACCTGTCAGCCTTGGCTGGGACCCACCAAAACATGCCTCATTCGACGGTAGCACAGCAACAGAGGCTACATGCCATGGATTGGAGGCATGGACGACTGAATCAACCCAAATGGGCCCATCTGGCGGGCGCCATGGGGCCGCAATGAGGCCAAGTCATTCATGTTTGGCCCATGTTCTCATGCAGTCGGAATTGTTAAAGTCACCATCAGACCACAGCTTGTCAGGCTGCGCATTGGGTCCAGGTTGGTTATGCACAACGTCCATGACAACGCTCTTGTAGCCTCGCTTTGGCCCTATTTGCTA